GATGATGATGATGATGATGATGATGATGATGATGATGATGATGATGATGATGATGATGATGATGATGATGATGATGATGATGAGGATGATGATATTATTGGGCCTATTGAATCAGTATTGATAGGCCTGGTGTGCTTGAGAGCGCACTCCGGCACAGTGACACACGTGTAAATAGAAATTGATAAGACGTGCGTGGTGTAAAAAACTAACCAAAAAAAAAACCCCAACCCCTAAACAAACAACAACAACTCATACACAAACAAGTTATGGCTTCTTATTTTATATTCATCCGCAGTGCCGCGCGGTACAGTGACTGGAGTTCGAACCACCTTAAGTAGCGTTAAAAAATCTATAGTGTGGTCAAAAATTCGTGGTGCAACTTATCCTCAAATATCTCTTTAACGGGTGAATCAATGTCACCCACACTTTGCATAGCAGTTTGTATCAATTTGTCTTAACTAAATCATATTTTTCTAGAACAATTGGGGCTAGATTAAAACACGTTTCTTCTTAAATTTATATAAAATACTTGAAATCTCTGTCACGCGTAAAATGCTATTGTTCACAGCGCTTCCCGCTTCTCACACACATTTTGATTACGCAAAATGGCCTACGTCACAGCTCATCAAGACCATTTTTACTTGCAAAACTTGTTAGCCTACAAGAAATTATCGTTATAGACTAGTGAACACATTTTTGCACTAATGGCTCTCAAAATATGCCTTTAAATATGCATAATGTCCCGATTAGAAAAACCTGACGGACTTGCTATTAAAAGCTGTATTGCCCCAGCGGTAAACATTAAAAAATCTGTAGAAACCACCCCCTTGGGTTTTTTATTAGTATTTATTAAGGAATTTTCTAGAATACAGCTTGCAGGTGTTTACAAAAGGTTGATCTGTTAAGACAAATTGATATAAGTCACAAACATTGGAGAACCTATATTAAATAGTTGAGGAGATATTTTAAATAAGTCGCACCACGAATTTTTTACCGCACTTTTTTTTATTGTACATATTACAGAGTATTCTGTGTTCACAGTTAATTTGTGGCCGTCATTTGGTTGTCTTTCTTAAAAATTTTCACCGCACTTTCACCGTTACAGCTAACTATTTATAACCCCCCTTCCAAATCTTAAAAAAAGGAAAGACACCCCTCCCCC